CAACATGGAAGTGCATTAACTTAAAACCAAAGTGAGATATTCATGAAGCAATTGAGTAAATTCAGCATACATGGAAAAAAAATAAGCATGTGCAGCCAAAAAAATGCAAAAACACAAAGTATATCATGCACATATATGCATTCGGAAAGTCACAAAGTATCGATTTAAAAAAATTAGATAGTCACACAGCCACACAGTGCATTCAAAATTCCTGGAAATATGACATTCATTGAGCAATTGGGTAAATTTAGCATACATGGAAGAAAAAAAATAAGCATGTGTAGCCGAAAAATGCAAAGACACAAAGTATATAATGCACATATATGCTAAACCCTAAAAAATTAGATAGAGAAGATGAGCTACAGAAAATGGGAAAGTCACAAAGTACATGCAGAACTAATAAAGGGGTACAGTCACTGTGAAAAGCAAATATCATCAGCCAAATACTTTACCGAAATTAAAGAAAATTTTCATGAGTAGGATATCAAAATCAGATAACTCAGATGCCAAAAAAAAATCACAAAATGGGAATGGGAATGGGAATGGGGATGGGTGGCATTACCAAAGTAAAATCAAAATGGCAAAAGAGGTGAACAGCAAGTGAACGAAAATAAACCAAGGATGAGTCACACATAGTTCTTCACAGATGACAAAAAAAAAATACCATAAAATAAGTTTGAAGTAACGAATACAAAAAAAAATATCAAAAGAAAACAGAGAATGTGAGAAACAACTCGATGAAAAGAGAAACAACGAAAAGAGAAAAATTGGAATGGGGCAAACCCTTGACTCATACAGAAATTTCGAGTTGCAGTCGGTGAGAAAGAATGAGCCATGAGAAATCAAAGATTTACCACAAAACAAAAAATGGGCAAAAAAAGTGATGCAGTGAAGTTTAGAGAACCTGATAAGCAGAACCCAGGAAGGGTGAAGCACGCCCTAGATGGGAGTTACGCGAATGGAGAGTATGAAGCACTGAAAGATGGAGTTTGTAGAGTGATACCCAGACGGTTGAGAGAAGGAAACGAGAGACCCTTCGTGTGTAGCGTTTGGAAGAAAAGAACTGACTGAGAAACGGTTCTGTTCTCAGATTTTTTAAAAAAAAAACGCTGAACACGCATGGTAATCGATTACCAATGGATGGGTAATCGATTACCCTTCTTGGTAATCAGTTACCAAAGGCTTGGTAATCGATTACCCAAGGGTTCTGGGCTGATTTTAGGCATGAAACAGACAAGAAGGAAGGGAAGGGTTTCATGGCATGTAACAGATATAATCCCATTGATTTTATTCATGAAAAGTGTTTTTTTTTTTACATAAAAAAAATTAGGAGGATTTAATCATGAGAACAAGTGAAGCTATTAAGTAAATGACGATGCAATCATATATAGGATGGATCAATAAGACCAATTTCTCTTCTTACGTTATAAAATACTTCCTTTGGTAGCGGTTTGGTGAAGATGTCAGCCAATTGCTTTGAGGATTGCACAAACTCCAAGATGCAATCACTGCTTTGCACATGATCTCTGATCTCTTATGAAATGATGCCTAATGTCAATATGTTTAGTTCTTGAGTGCATTATGGGATTCTTTGTGAGGTTTATGGCACTAGTGTTGTAACACCTTATAGGGATGTGATCAAGTTCAACCCCAAAGTCCTTGAGTTGTTGTTTCATCCAAATGATTTGAGCACAACAACTACCGGCCGCCACATATTCGGCTTCAGCCGTGGACAAAGCCACACTATTTTGTTTCTTGCTATGCCAAGACACTAAAGAGCAACCAAGAAAATGACATGTGCCACTAGTGCTCTTCCTATCCAATTTGCATCCTGCAAAATCGTAATCGAAATAGCTTATCAACTCACATGATGCACCCTTGGAGTACCATAATCTCATTTGTGAAGTTCCTACAAGATATCTCATAATTCTTTTTACAGCACTTAAGTGTGATTCCTTAGGATTAGGTTGAAATCTAGCACACATGTACACACTAAACATAATATCGGGCCTACTTGCGGTTAAGTAAATGAGTGAGTCGATTATACCTCGATATTTAGTAATTTCTATGGGTTTACCTCCTTCAACCTTGTCTAAAGAACAAGGTGTACCCTTGGGAGTGTCAATGGCCTTGGAGTTATCCATTCCAAATTTTTTGAGTAACTCCTTGCAATATTTAGCTTGATTGATGAATATTCCATCCTTTTGTTGCTTTATTTGGAGACCAAGAAAGAAGTTGAGTTCTCCCATCATAGACATCTCAAATTCACTTTGTATAAGATTGACAAACTCTTCACAAAGGTGAACATTAGTGGCACCTAATATAATGTCATCAACATAGATTTGTGCAAATAATAGATGATCATTTTTCTTCTTTATAAAGAGAGTTATATCCACTTTTCCTATTGAAAAACTTTTTTCTAAAAGAAATTTGCTTAATATTTCATACCAAGCTCTTGGAGCTTGTTTCAAACCATATAAAGCCTTTTTGAGTTTAAAAACATGGCTAGGTAAATCATTATCTTCAAAATCAGGAGGTTGATCAACATATACTTTTTCTTGAATGTATCCATTTAGAAATGCACTTTTAACATCCATTTGAAAAAGTTTAAAGTCCATTATACATGCAAATGCAAGTAATAATCTAATAGCTTCTAATCTAGCAACGGGAGCTTAAGTTTCATCATAATCAATACTTTCCTCTTGATTATAACCTTTAGCAACAAGTCTAACTTTATTTCTAGTAATTATGCCATTTTCATCAAGCTTATTCCTAAAGACCCATTTGGTTCCAATTATTGGATAATCATTTGGTTTTGGCAAAAGTTCCCAAACTTGATTTCTTTCAAATTGATTTAGTTCTTCTTGCATTGCCAAGAACCAATGTTCATTAATAATTGCTTCATTTATGGTCTTAGGCTCAATTTGAGAAACAAATGCTAAGTGATTACTAATATTTCTAATTGAGTTTCTAGTAGTTACCCCTTTTGATATATCACCAATTACCACATCGATGAGGTGTCCTCTAGCTACTCTCCAATCTTGTGGTAGATTGTTCCCGTCATTGGTTTGTTGACTTGGTGTTTCTTCATTGTTTGCTTCCTTTTCTTTTTTCCTTTCATCGTTCTTTTTGCCATCCAAGTTTATGTTTTTCATGCTTTCTATAAGATCATCATCACAAAGTTCCTTTCTAGGCAAAACATTGTTAGTCTCATTAAATACAACATGAATAGACTCTTCAATGATCATTGTTCTTTTATTATAGACTCTATAAGCTCTACTTGTGAGTGAATAGCCTAGAAAAATGCCTTCATTGGCTTTAGAGTCAAATTTGTCAAGGTTTTCTTTTCCATTGTTTAAAACAAAACATTTGCAACCAAAGATATGAAAATATGAAATATTGGGCTTTCTTCCTTCGTAAAGTTCATAGGGGATTTTCTTCAAAATAGGTCTAATTAAAGCACGGTTCATAACATAACAAGCGGTGCCAACGGCTTCCACCCAAAAATATTTTGGAAGATCATTTTCATTTAACATGGTTCTAGCAAGTTCTTTCAATACACGATTTTTTCTTTCTACAACTCCATTTTGTTGTGGAGTCCTAGGAGCGAAAAAATTATGTTCAATACCATTTTCTTCACAAAAGGTTTCAAAATCTTGATTTTCAAATTCCCCACCATGATCGATTCTAATTGAAACAATATTTGAGGATTGTTCTTTTTGAATAAACTTTGCTAGTCTCTTGAATGATTTAAAAGTATCGCTTTTATATGTAAGAAATAAAGTCCAAGTATAGCGAGAATAATCATCCACAATGACTAAGGCATAGTAATTGCCACCAAATCTTATTGTTCTAGTTGGTCCAAAGAGATCCATATGCAAAAGTTGTAAAAACTTTGTGGTAGAAACAACATTTTTTGATTTGAAAGAACCCTTACTTGTTTTCCCATTTGACAAGCATCACAAACTTTATCTTTTTCAAATTTGAGCTTTGGTAACCCAATCACTTGGTCTAATGACATTAATTTGCTTAATTGATCCATGTCAATGTGTGCTATTCTTCTATGCCATAACCAAGAGTCATCTTCCTTACTAATCAAACATTTATCATCATTTGAAGGCATATCATCTAAGTCTATCATATAAATGCTATTCACTCTATGACCAAGAAACTTAACTTGCCCATCTATTAGACTTTCAATTTTATAAGAGGTTGAATAAAAAATTACTCTATAATTTTTATCACATAATTGACTAATACTAAGCAACTTATGTCTAAGGCCCTCAACAAGTAAAACATTTTCTATAGAGACGGAGGAAGAGTTATCAACTTTTCCAATACCGATTATCTTCCCTTTGTTGTTATATCCATAGGAAACATGTCCATACTCTTTCTTTGTGAATGATTGGAATTTAGTTACATCTCCCGTCATGTGACTTGAGCAACCACTATCCAAGTACCACTAGGAGCTTTTAGCCTTCAAACAAACCTATATCACAAAGTCAAGATTTAATCTTTGGTACCCACACCTTGTTGGGTCCTTGTGTGTTAGTCTTGGGCTTAGTTCCCTTAGGAACCCACACTTTCTTTTGCCCAATAATACCATTCTTTCTAACTTTACATGTTCAAGAACTATGACCTTTTCCACCCCAATGAAAATATTTAATGAATGGGCTACTTGTCATGTAGGATGGAGAAATAAAAAAGTTTTTATATGATTTTTCTTGTGTGCTAATGTCAAAGCCTAAGCCGGATTTGTTAAACATGCATCTTTGTTTACCAAGCAACATATTTAAATTATCTCTACCACATGTGAATTTGCTTAGAATTACATTTAAGTCATCAATTTCATTGTTTAGATCTTTACATGATGTACATGATGATGAAGATGCATGATCATTTGAAGATAGACATTTGATACAACTAGTGCTAGCATCAAGTAATTTGAGAGTTTCATTTTCATCTTTCAAATCTTTTACCTCCTTTTCTAAAGATGCAATTTATTTTTCCAAAGAGGTAATAGTTTTTCTTGATGCTCTAAGAGTTTTTACATGTTCTAGTGTTTCATTATGCATTTCTTCAAACATTTTAGCAAACTCATCATATGAAGGGAAAATAGTAGAGCAAGATGAGTTTACCTTGTTTTTGGATTCATCCTCATTTGCCATTAGACATATATGTTGAGTTCCTTTGCTTGATTTCTCCAGTGGTCTCCCATCTTGCATGAAGCATAGGTTTGCTTCTTCTTTGGAGTCATCATCAGAAGAACTAGATTCATCATCCCAAGCAAGATAAGCCTTCTTGAAGTTCTTTCTATCCTTGCCTTGCTTCTTTTTATATTTGTCTTTCTTTTGAATATTTGGACAATCCGATTTGTAGTGACCGGTTTTTCCACATTCATAACAAGTGATGGTAAGTTGTGAGGATCCTTCATCTTTGGATCTTCTTATAAGAGGAAATGCGGGTCTCTTAAAAAAATTCTTCTTAAAATTTTTTCCATACTTCTTCACGAAGAGACTCATCTCATCTTCATCAATATCACTTTCGAAATCTCCATTTTATTTTTCCTCATTCTTTGCTTGGTGTTGAAGCTTTTAAGGCAATTTCCTTACTTTTCTTGATGGCTTGTTCCTTCAAGGCTATTTTACTTAGCTCAATTTCATACTCTTGAAGTTTTCCGAACAAGGTTGTAAGATCTATGGTTTTCAAATCTTTTGATTCCGTTATAGCCGTCAACTTGGGTTGTCATTCCCTATTATGCACACTTCTCATCACCTTAGCAATTAACTCAAGGTTAGTAAAAGATTTATCTAAAGCATTTAGATGAGGGACAAGGTGTGTGAATCTCTTTTGCATACTTTGAATGCTTTCATTTTCATGAATCTCAGACATTTCAAATTCTCTAGTGAGTGCATTTAATTTTGTAAATTTAACATCACTAGTTCCTTCGTGGGTTATTTGAAGAATATCTCACATTTCCTTAGCATTCTTACAATTTGAAACACGAAAATATTCATCACGACCAAAGGCATTTGTGATCAAGTTTTGAGCTTTAGCATTCCAATTTCCTTTCTTAACTTCATCTTCGGTGTAATTGTCTATATCTTTAGGAACATCTTCATTTTTCTCATTTTTTATAGTAGGTGGTGTATACCATTTTTCAACTATGTTCCATACTCTTAAATTATTAGATTGAAGAAATATTTTCATCCGACTCTTCCAATAAGAATAATCGACGCAATTGAAAAATGGAGGTCTAGTACTAGAAGATCCCTCAAGGGGCATATCATGGTTTAAAGAAGTCATCCATTCTCTTGAAGCGGTTAAGCTCTTTACATAAGAGTTCAAGCTCTGATACCACTTGTTGGACAAGTGGCTTCAATACTCAAGGGGGGCTGAATTGAGTTTTACAAAATCTTTTCGCAAAGTGCCTCATTTGATATTTTAAAGACTATTTCTTCAATAAAGTGATTTAACAAGAAAAAATCTAAGTGTAAGAGCAAGTGTAGTGATCAACAAAGTAAGCAAGTGAATATATAAAGACAATCTAAAATGCAATTTTAATACTTAAATAAAGAGATTAAGGTTAGAGAAATTGCAAACTAGATGTATCCTGGTTTGGTCACCACCACCGTGACCTTCGTCCAGACTGGAGCCATTCGATCAATTCTTTTCACTAACTATCAAGCTCGAGGGTGCTTAACAAATCACTACAACCTTTCAAGACTTCGGGCTCTTAATGCCTTACAATTTTTCACTCCAAAATTTCTTAGAAATTTGGTGACCTTTCAAGTGTATAGGGTTCACTCCCCTAACTATTCAAGCAATCAAAGGAAGGTGTTTAATAATGGCTAAGTACTCTCAAAGTACAAATAACACAAGTTGAAGAACAATGGTTGTTGACACTCTCACAAGAATAAAGCTCAAAGAGAATTTATGATCAAGAAGACAAGAATAATGCAAATGGAATGAGAATTAATGAGTAATAATGATCAAGAAGTGTGTCCCATCAAGGGGAACAATATTCTCTATTTATAGAAGGCCCCCGTGGCCTTTTTCACACTCATTTTCGCAAACTAACCATTTTATAGCCGTTATTTTGTCTTCTGCACAGTAGGTAATCGATTACCATTGTGTGGGTAATTGATTACCATGAAGGGTAATCGATTACCATTGTTTGGTAATCGATTATCAATATGTTGAGAGGTTGGATTTCACCCTAAAATAATTTTCTCTTGATTCAAATCAGTTTCAAATATTGTTTAAGCATTTTATGAACATTGAAAACTATATTTTCATGCTAGGAATGTATTTGAAAGTCAAACGATGATTTAATGCATGTATTTGAAAAATACTTTGAGCTTCGTTCACGTAAGGAATCAATTACCCTTTTCAAATGATCCTAAGTCCTATACTATGTTACTTGGAGATTGCTTGGACTTTAGAGACTTCTCTTGAAGCTCGAGTCTTGATCTTGTTTAGACTTGTTTTTGATGGTTGCACCTTAAAGCTTTCTTTTCATGCTTGTTTGTTATCATCAAAATCGTTGAACCTTTATATTCTTTACGTAGAGTGCATTGGTTCCACACTAACAGCTTAAACTTTTGAGTTGAATTGATCTTTTACAGTTAAGTGAATTAAAGCATGATTATTAGTCACAAAAACACAACACCATCGATACTTCATGTTTTTGAAAAACCTAGATTTGTTAAACCTCCATAAAATTTGAAATAAGTAAAGTTTCTTTACAAGCTTAAAAAAAGGTAAAAAGTTGTTTGATGATTACATAAATTTTTGGCCCATTTCAAGAAAAGCTGATAAGAGCTAAAAAAGATCATCTTAAGAACTTTTGGCTTTTTTCTTCATTATAAAAGAAAAACACTTTTTATTATAAGAGCTTTTGTAAAAACTTATTTTGCTTAGCTTCTGTTTATAAGGAGAAAAGAAGTTAAAAAAAAGTATCCAAACATACACTAGGCTCACGAAACACAATATACTATGGGTTTCAATATGAAAACTCGAAACATTATTAGTCCAAGGGTGGCCTTTTCGTGATCTACTATTCTCTTATATAAGTGTCTGACACCCTCCATAGTTTCACGAGAACCTTAATTACACATTGTAAACATTGTCACGTATGATAGAATCTTAAGGATGAACATGACGGGGAAAAAAACTATAAGATAAAGTGCACTATAGTGAAATTAGATAATATACAAATGCGGTATGATTTATGAGTGAATGTGTGTTTCATATAGTAATAGATGTAAAAAAATGTTAATAACATGGTTTTTTTTTTTTTAGTTTTCTCAAGGTATCCCCCAGCCGATAGCCAAAGATTAATCATTTCGATGTAAAGAGATCACCGAATTGAGTTTTGCCTCTACTAACAAAGTCTTTTCCATCTTTATATAATAACATGGTTTTATATTCTTTTTTTATATCATCTTTATTATTAGGTTAATGTTCTTACTATGGGGTTTGAATATAAGATCAATTAATATATACTAGGAGTGTAAATGGGCTTAGTTAGGTTAAACTTTCATTTGAATAGGCTAGGTCTATGCAAAATATTTTGAGTCTGACCTGCCCTATTAACCTCATGTAGGCTATATTATAAGCTTGGTCTGACTTATATTTAAAAATCAAAAGGTTTGGTATAATAACTCTAACCGGTATAATGAGAATTTAGGAATTTCCCATAATTAAAAGAGATTAATTACATAAGAAATCTAATTATGAGATTTTACTCACTTTTGGGGATAAAAGTGCAAATAGTAAAAGTTTTGGGGTAAAAATATAAATATGCAAAAGTTACCTGAAACAGAGAAATAATATAGTGAAAAACTACTTCATGAAGTTTATGAGTTAAAACACATGTTAGAAATGTTAAGTTATTGGTTAGAAAAGAAATATGAAAGGAAGGTTGAAAGAGAAAATGACCAAGTGGATTTTGTTGAACCAAGTTCAAACCATGGTTAAGTGAATTAAAGCGTGATTATTATCACAAAAACGCAACACCATCGACACTTTATATTTATGAAAAACCTAGATTTGATGAACCTCCATAAAACTTGAAATAAGTAAAGTTTCTTTACCTCAAATCTCTTTAGAAGGCTAAGATAAAAGACTTCACAATCTCTAAGGAGTTGAAACACTCCTCACACTCCAAAATCCAACAATTCCTCCAAACTTTGAAAGAGAAAATATTTCTCTACAAGGCCTCTCACTTGCAACTTGTAGATGGGTTTTGCTTCTAGTGAGAATCCAAGCATCTAAATGTTTTAACGCGCCAGAGAGCGTTAAAACACTTATGTAGGGCATTTTAACGTGCTAACCTTGCAACTCAAAAATATGTTTTTACACCATGTTGGTCTGTGGAGGCTGCATAGTAAATGATTATAAGTTAATGTATGATGCTTTTAAGCAATGCATGAGTATTATTAAGAAAGTTAAGGTAATCAATTACGGAATCAATTTATATGCAAGAAAGGAAAAAGTTTATCTCTAAATTCGATTTATTGTATATGATTTCAGTTGCGCTTAATACCATATGTAATGATAACAAACCGAGAGCTCATAGGGTGTTACAATATCTGACATAGGATTATTAGCCCGTTTAAGCAAATCAAGCCTTCAATAACTATTAAAATTATATATATATATATATATAGACATACACATATATAATAATTTTATTATTAATTAAAATTAGATAATTGAGAGATGTAAGCAATAGGATTATCGATCTCTAAGGTGGCCTTAGAGGGAAGAAAAACCCCATGTTTTACACTTGGAATAACCATAGGAAGAGTAGAGGATGTTGACTCTATGTGAGAAAGAGTAGCGAAAATAGGCTTATGATATTTCACACTGTAATATTCCTCAATATGTCTCAATTTAGACAAAAAGAATGAGGTTTATTATGACACAAAAAACACAAAGGTGATTGAAAGAACACAAGGATGCGATCTCCCATCGTAGTGGGTCATAGTTCGAGGTTAAGAACCCACAAAAAAACACAAAAGTGACTGGAAAAACACAAAAAAAAAAGCAAGAGATCATAAGAATCTGTAGAAAAAAGTGTCAAATGATGGTGGTTCATTGTAATCTCTCAAACGACTTGGTCCCACAACTAATTGAAACCAAATCCACATAGAGGAAAGATAGGCCATTTTTTCTGTGGTGGTCTGGCCAAGAACGCCGACTAGACGAGCCTCCACGCACTGAATGTAGAAGAAGTTGTGGCTAGAAGTGACACATATGGGTTGTCTAAACTCTGATGGATGCGCCGCCTGCATAGAAAGGACTGCCTTGATGAAACGGTATAGGTCGTAATGGTTTTGTCCGAAAATGTCATCGAAAAAGTCGTTGTTGGCAAGAGACAATAACAAAGGCAAAGGACAGTCAAACAATACCTAACGACAATTGACGATTGAGGAATGGGTCTTGAAGGGTTGTCGGTAGGATGCGTGACAGTGATGGCTTGTTGGTAACACAAACTAATAAGGAAGACAATTGATGGCTCTACTTAGTAGTAAGCGTGATTTTAGGATTTTGTAAAAGCAAGACTTCCTAGAACGTTAAACTCTGATACCAACTTAAAATTATGGAATTTTGTGTAAAGTATGACCACACAAAGGTCATACTTATAATAATAAGATACATGAGCTTGGGTCGTTTTTACATGAAGTGGGCCAAACTAACACAACTTAATGTACATATTCTAATAGATTAAATTTTTTATTTATACAAATAAATATTTGATAAATAAAATTCTTATTTATAAATTGATATATTATTATACTCATTCAATTTTTAAATGTATAAAAAATGATTTATGTTTATATGAAATTTCTATAAGAATATAGAGATTTGTAATTATACACCCTTCATATTAATTTTAATTAGAATTATAAATTTAGAGCTTATATAAATTATTTTACCAAAAAGTTTATTTATAGCTTAAGCTTTAGATAACTTTTAAGCTATAAAATATATATAACCGCCAAATAGCTTTATCTTTATTTTTTAAGCATTTAGTTTTGCATTAACTTAGTTTATAAGTTCAAAGGAAATTAAACCAAACAAACATAACGATTTTGTGCTTAAGCTCTTATACTTGAGTATTGTTGATTTTGGCAGATAACTAATATTTTTTTCTTTTCTGGATAGTTATGTCACATACCTTTTTTATTTTTCGTTAAACTATGTCACGTACCTTCATTCTAACTTTTATTTTCTTCGTGTCGATATTTTTGTCATAGCTAAGCTATTCAATATTTATTAATTATTATTGATCATGTAATTATAATATAGTAAAGTACTTTTTGGATTCTCAATAAAAATTATGGGGCCCATTTTAATTATTTAGAAGAAAAAAAGTCGATTTGTAATCTCTACAAAATTTAAAATAGACTCAGTTAGTCAAAATCGTGGTCTCTCTAAAATTTAATGAAGATCAACATTAGTCCCTCAAAAAAATTAACATGGGTCTATTTTGAATTTCAGAGGGATCACAAATTGAATTTTTTTTCTAAAGGATTAAATTGGGTCCCGTAATATTTGTTGAGGACTCAGAAGATACTTTACTCTTATAATATTTTAGGAGAGATTTATTTTGTGTCAAAAATGTTTAATCAAATGAAAAAAATTAAATTTATAAAAGGTCCACATATTAACCCTAATCTCAGAGAATTTTGTGGGAGGTTTAACTCATACAGACTTTTATCTATACGCGGGCCTTTGGGCTTAGCCCACTTGCACTAGGACATAAGACGCGTTCTAATCCATTTTGATAGGTCTAGTCCTAGTCCTATATATTTGCAAATTGCAATCACCTAAACCCTCTAATTGGGCTTCTTTTATTACAATTTACCTATACGGCTACCTTATTATGGTAATACCTACCTTATTATGGCAATACCAAAAAAGGAAAAAGATAAGATTTTTAAATAACTTAAGAGGGAAAAAAGGAAAGAGAAGTAGATAACCATGAAATTAATAACCCTAATTGTTTTCACTCTTTTATTAAGATACTTACTCACAGATTTCTCTTTAACTATTTTACTAACTCTACATAAGGTATGTATCAAAAAAAAAAAAAAAAAAAACTCTACCTAAGGGAAACTACCGTTTCTTTTTTGAGAAGATAATTTGCCTTTGTTTTCTTCCGCAGAAACAATGCTGCTACAAGACAAAACAGTGCCCTAGATTACCGCAAAAAATAAAAAAAATAAAAAATAAAAATGAAAGTAAACGTAAAAATGGTCAAGTCATAGCAAAATAAACGTCATAGTGTTATGGCAAAATATATAAAAGGTATCAAATCTTAATGCTAAGTTTAATTAATGACTATTACCAAGAGTTAACAATGAACTAAGAGACCTTATTAACATACCATAATAAAAATCACTGTAACTGAAGGCAAAGGGAGCGTCACGTTCACTCCCTTCTCTCGTGCCCTCTTCTTCTCTCTCAAAGGAAGTGAATGAAACCTTAGGGTTCCTCTGTTCTTCCTTACCCCAAAACAAAAAAATCTTAGGGCTTAGAGAAATTCATCCATTTCTCGCCATTGCTGAAGCTCCAACCTTTTGCATTTCCAACTATCCACCACAACACTTTTATTAGAAACAGAGCTCAGAGAGACCCTACACACGCATGGCGAAAACGAGACCTGGCAGAAAAGATTTGGACTCATACACCATCAGAGGCACCAACAAGATCGTAAGAGGTAATTGCTTGAAACCCTTTTCTCCTTGTACCTACCCAGTTGCGTAAATGACTTCAAAATCGTTCCTTTTGCGGAATGGAGTGAAGGGTATGGTTCGAAACCATGTGGGTGTTGTGTGGATTACTGAAAGTTGTGATTTTTTTTTTCTTCCATTTTTGCAGCTGGGGATTGTGTGCTGATGCGCCCTTCCGACACGAGCAAGCCACCGTACGTGGCGCGCGTGGAGAAGATCGAGCAGGATAATAGGAGCAACGTGAAGGTGCGTGTGAGGTGGTACTACCGGCCTGAAGAGTCTATTGGAGGACGGAGGCAGTTTCATGGAGCAAAGGAGCTTTTTTTGTCTGACCATTATGATGTTCAGAGTGCTCACACCATTGAAGGGAAGTGTGTTGTGCACTCTTTCAAGAACTATACTAAGCTTGAGAATGTAGGTGCTGAAGATTATTATTGTAGGTTTGAGTACAAGGCTGCTACTGGGGCTTTCACGCCTGACCGTGTTGCTGTGTGAGTTTTTATTTTTTGTTTTTGTTTTTAATGAAATGATGGTGTTTTGGTATTTGAAGTAGTGTGGTTTTTTTGTTGATTTGGTTTTATGTGTTGAAGGTATTGCAAATGCGAGATGCCTTATAACCCGGATGATCTCATGGTGCAGTGTGAGGGGTGCAAGGATTGGTAAAATCAGTGTATTCTGCTTTACTTTGTTTACTATTATTACATTTTTTAGAGGTTTTTAGTTATTCAGGTTCTCTAATTCGAGCATTAGATGTGTTATTTGCTTGGATTATGGAATTTTGTGGATATTCCAGCACCTGCAGAACCAACCTAAAGGTTGTTGACCCTAAACAAAAAGAATGATAAAGACTACGAGAAGGCTTCAAGTAGCCCTATGAAGTGTTTTCCTATGTCCAATAGCTTTAATCCACTCGTTGAATTTTATGTTATTGGAACTCTGTCTTGGGCTCTTGGCCTACGCGTACATTTTGCATTTTACTCTTGACAAAGCCTTCTGCTTGTTCAGTCAAAGAAAAACCAATTGAGACCAATGCAGGAAACGGAGAAAGAACAAAGAATTTTCCATTTACAAGGGAGCTACTAATAATTAATTGGAAAAAAAATTCAATGGCAGAAGAATTTTATAGTGAGTTGAAACTGCTGATGTGTCTATATCGGCCTTTTGTTAGCCTAGATAATCTTGACTCTAGGTTCTTTTGTTTCTCTTCTCCAATGCACGCGTCAGCCAATATAAATTGAACGATGCAGGGGCTTATTTGTTTTGTGTTTTAATCATATCTGACCTTATTTGGCATCATACTTTCATTGATTGCAAATATTGTTAAATTTAAGGAGTATCTGAGAAATCATGCCATTATGGTTTTATATTTTTATGTCACTAGATTTTATGAAAGAAACACTTTTCAATTTTTGTAGGTTTCTTGTAGGTACCATCCTGCTTGCGTGGGCATGACTATTGAAGAAGCAAAGAAATTGGAACATTTTGTGTGTTCTGAATGTTCATCGGACGATGACTTGAAGAAACCCCAGGCTACATTTCCTGTATCACCGGGATCTGATGTCAAGGTGAGACTGCCTGCATCCAGTCCTGAATAATTTTATATGCACTGTCACTTTTGTTCCTTTTAATTTTATTTTCTCTACACATTCTTGAGAAACATTATTATTCCAAGGTTAAAGGGGGAATGGGGACACATTAGGTGTAGTATTTTTAGATTGGTGTAAAAAGGGAAGTTTTTCTTCCAAAACAAGAATGTACACCCTTAGTGCTGCTAGTATTAAAATGGGCAATTTATTGCAGCTAATTTTGAAATTGGCAAATGTGTTGCTGCTAGTCTGTAAAATGGTTTATATGGAAGATTGCTTCATGTCTAGAAATTGGAAGTTCTAGTTGTGCACTATTTCATATATGCTAATCTGATTAGTGTTAACATGTGTGTTTCTTCAGTCTTGGTACTAAACTTAGCTTATTTGATATTTTTTTTCTGCTTGGTTTTCTTTAATGTGAAAGGATTTGGGCATTTTTTAAATTGAAATTGTTGCAAAGTGTAATTAGTTAAAGATTTAAGCCTGTCAGATGGTTAAAAGTATAGATATTATGACGTAGGCACCCTTTAAAGTTTTAAAGATACTTTCAACATTTCCAGTGTTTTTTATGTATTCTTGTTTGGCAGCTTTGGTTTACCTTGTCTTTGCATTTGTATTTGAATGTATTGATAGCTGAAATTATTGTTTGAGGTATAGGTATATGAATGATGTTTATTCATGTGAGCTTTTACCTTGATACTTTTTGTGTTTAACATACTTTTTCACTTTGTTCAATTCTTTAACTAAGTTAATCTGTGTACTTTATCTCTTCTCTGCCCATTCCTAAATTGGGAACTCTATAAAACTCTGGCAATATATGGTTTCAACTAAATTGTGACCTGGTCATTCTTTTATTAACTTCATTAATTATATCGGTGGACCAGCTTCTGCTTTTGAATTTATTTTATTTTATTTTTACTTGTTTTTGGGAGGTGGGGGGCGCGTATAGATGTAGGTATGTTTATTTTTTCCATGCGCCATGCTTGCTTTATAGTAGACTGAAATTATATGGGGTTGTAATTGATGATTAACCTGCCGATCTTCATGTATTTTAATTTTTTAGCTGCAGATCTTTATATTCATTTTGGTTTTGTTGTTGATTATTGATGACATGTTTGCATGGTTCAACTAGCCTGTGGAAGAGCATATAAAAGTAGTAAACAGGAGGTTTTTGAAGTCACGACTCATGATTAATCGGTCAATAATCTATTGATCTTTTCTAGTACCGTTATATTTAGTGGCGTTAGGTTCAAATGGGTTTACAATGATGTGTAAGTTCAGATTTGGATTCTAATTATTTTAAGCTGTGTTTTGAGGTTTTCATAAAATGAGAGGATTGTACGTATAGAAGTTTATTATCTGATCTTTTTCTGTGTGTTTGTGTTTATGTATTAGAAAATATAGTTCTACTTGTTGAAATAGATTTCTGCGTTTTCTTGTAAAAGTCATTAAGCTTGACCTACCAACTTCAGTCCTTTCTTCTTCTTTTGGGCATCTTCCGCACACAGCACAGTTCATTTCGGGGAAGTAATCGAGTCATGCATGAGATTATAGTAAAGCTTTTTTGTTCCTTAAGGACATAATCTCTACTCATCAATGGTGTGTGATTTTGTATTTTTCTCTTTTTATTTTTACAGTATAGAGGCTTTAAAATATTTCTAGACATGTCCAACTTGGTAGTCTTTTTGGAGAGTATCGCCGGTAATCCGATAGGTTTGCCCTATGGATTAATCCGGAGTTCTGGGTGGATTGAGGATTAAGGCTTTAAACTCCTCCCAAAAATGGTAATGGGAAGGCATCGAACACACGTTCTCACTTGGTAGTTTTAGAACGTGATTTGACCTGGATTGTCATTTTGGTTAATGTATTCTGCATGGTGTCGTATTGTATCTGTCATCCTCATATTGGGGCACAGTCATGGGATCTTTTGAAAGGAGCATATCTTGATGCTGTTGTCTGTTTACTCAGTGACATTACTTATTAGTGATGATTATGACATAGAACTCAAAAATCATTTGTTGTGAATATAGCATGGAAATTGCATAGAACTTGTGTTTTGGGAATGGATCCTTTCATGTGAGATGATGTCATGTGAAAGGATTTTAATTTTCTAAATATAGATCAACGGTTATTTTATTTTTTATCATCCTTTATTCTAATGCATTCTCTCACCATCGTTGATTTGTATCTTCACGATTGATATTCTCTCAATTGATCTCATATCACATGAAAGGATCCATTCTATCGTGTTTCACGTTACCTTTTACTGTTATATATAAGTTTTATGAACAAGTCATGAATTTGCAGGTGGAGTCCAAGCGGCGGAAGAGATGACCATCACGGCATGGGAAATGTGACCCATGCTGAGTTTGGCTTGGCTATGTGGTAGATGATGTTGTGTGTTGTACGGCTTCGACAAGAGGCTATGAACATTTTAATGTGTTTGACTCAGGCTATGTATGTATCCGTGTTAGATTTTATGTATGACAGACATTGATCTGTTTCCCTTTTCTGTCCAGAAAGAGTAACTCCGGTGATCTAAGTGTTAATTTATGAGATAACATCAAACCTTAAGCACTGGAGCAAAAAGAAATTATCAGTTTTCTTAAATTTTTTGTTCTATTTTACTCAGCAGCTTTTATACATTAAATCTTGTCCAATTATGCTATTATTGTACTTTTGGTACCATGGTGAGTAATGCGAGCTTTTGAATGGAATTTTTTTCCTATTATACATATTAAGCAAGATGCGCATGTTATATGTGGGAACTAAACGTTTGTGTGAAACATTAAAAAGATAGTTGTGGCTGTGATTGTGCTTCTTGCGTTAAAATTTCGTGTACAGTTATTAGCCATTCAATTTTGGTTCATCACCTTTGTAGGTCCGGTTTTCTTTTTTATTACATGGGTTGATGTTTTTTAAATGTCAGCTCAGAGCTTATTATAATCAATTCAAGGAGTTCAGCCAAAAAAAAGAGAGACTAGTCAAAAAAAACGGTGTCCCGTGTGCGTGTTTGGCAAAATTGATGCTTAAGTACTCAAATTAATAAATAGCAAATATGTAGTTGTATAAATTATATTAAAAATGTACTTTTTTTAAAATATATATATGGGTTTTATAAGAGTTATGTTGTAGGAAAAGTGATTCTGTAATGTTATAGAAATTTGTTTTGCGTGTCGTAATTTTTTTCTTTTTTCTTCAAAAAGTGTGGGCCCCACAAAATGTTAGGTGTGCAGGAAAATTTATTGTGTCATGTTAAATGACAAATGCAAACTCCTATATATATATATATATAGGTTTGATGTATTTTATGTGTTAAGAGATAAAATTATCTTTAACATATACATGAAAGTGTGTGGGGCTCGTATGAGGTCATGTAAAGAGAAGAGAGAGAAAAATAAATTATGAATCTCACACATTTTTATGTATGTGTAGGACATAAATATCTCCTACAATATGATATATATATATATATATATATATATATATATATATATATATATATATATATATATATATATATATATAGGGGCAGGATGCTTGTATTTTGGGGATGTGAAGGTAAGATAAGGTAACGCGTGCATGCACATTAACGGTTTATAATATTGACGTACGTAAAAAGGACAACCTATCGGCTTGCATGATTGATTATAAGGAAGCTAAAAGTTAGCTTAATTCGATACCCTTTGTGACAAGCATGGAAGAAAAAGAATATTGCTTCATCGATCAATAGGTTCTAGTTTACCATAACTTACAGTACAAGCATTAGCATGTTCTTGGTTTCAAACTTTCCATTATATATCTTGCTTCATAATAAGGACCAATTCGATTAGTTGCTGTTGTTGGAAGGAGATAATATATATATATATATGCTCGATTGGTCCCCCATGCATATATAAAGGGTCACTGGTTGATTAAGATGCAACAAGAATTGGTTGCTCCCTACCATGACAAGGAAAAGTTCAATCAACTTCATGATACGTAGGTTTCCTTTGACTTTTTTTGCTGCACTTTGATTTGTACGAAAATTATCTACTTTTTATTTGACCCTCGAATAAAAATCCATATTAGGCTTATTCATTGCCGCTTTTCTTTTTCACGGAAATTTGTTTCAATAACTTGTTATTTTTTTCTGACAGATCATATATACATACCTTTTTTCTTGCGTGCATGAAACCTCGTGGTACATGCAAAAAAGAAAGAATAGAGAAGGAAGAAAGAAAAGTAGCCAATAATAACCATGCTATTCCTGAGTTTAATTTCTAGGGTTATGTATGAAGGAGAAGGAAGCATGGAATGGGAAGCTGCATACCCAGTGGAATATATATATATAGATATATATATATATTGGTTATGTGGATGTATATACATAATATTTATAAATATGTGTATCTTCTAACCTAATGCTATAGTGGATTTTCTTCACTATTAATTTGGTGGATACAGTTGGACCGACAATAACAGGTATATATTAATTATTAATTAATTAACCATAAAGGCTTTAGGGTAGGTGTGTGTCAGTGTGTGCTTTTGTAACAGTACTGATACATGATTAATTATGTGCCCTTAATTGTCAGGGGCTTGATTACCATTATATATATATGGTTGGTCTTTGTGTGGCATTAACTGATGCTGCTGCTAACACTGTGGTTACTTTATTCTTTGTTGTTATGATAAATAATGGAAGTTGTGAAAAATCTGATTGGTTCGAATTATATGGGGTTAAATGTTGAGAAACTCGACATTTAATTTTAGCTGGTTATCGGGTAAGTGAAACATAAACTGGTGACCAAATGGTGGTAGCTCAGTTGACGTATGGGAGCTAAGCATGTAGGGATAAGAGTATTTGTTCGAATCTTCTCAATACCATATTTGGAGAGGAGTTTAAAACCTTAATTCTAAACCCGTCTCGAATCAGATTAGTTGCGAAGCAATGAACCGATTAGAATATTTCAAAAAAAAATAAAAATAAACCGGTGAAACCTGACCTGATCACCTGCTGCATTATTATTGATTTGAAAAGTGATGATTATTGCTCATATACGCATTTTGTTCCTTTTCATTTGACTTTCGTTTTCAAATATTTCAGATTAATGTTGAGTCTTTAATCCCTTTAAAGTTGATATATATATATATATATATATATATATATATATATATATATATATATATATTTTGTTTTCTTTTAAGAAACTGAAATCCTTGATCACCTCACTCAGTCATGTAACAGATTCCAAAAGGAAGTGATAAATATTTGAAAATAAGAATTACAGTGAAAAAAGGGTACTTTTTGATTATTAATAAAAAAGGAAATGCACTTCTCCTTTATGATTTCTCCTACTATAGAAATAAGGGTTATATTTATCTCATTCAATATGAGGTAACTCATTTTCCTATAGACACATAACAAAGGTGGATTCCATTTTTATTTTTTTTCTCTCCAATCATTTGTGAGTTCCTCTTAAATTTTTGTTTCACTGACATAGGATAACTCACTTACAGTAACATAAGAAATTTTTTTTCCTAGAAATAATTAAGTCCTGTGGGCTCCACTGGTGTTTTTTTTTTAAAATAAAATAGAAACACAGAAATCAAAATATCAAATGGAATGAATTTTCTTTTCATCTTTGGAGGAGTATAAATCTCTAATAAAAAATAACAAAATGAAACCATAAACATTTCCACAAACTACAATTTCTCCCGTAAGAATAATTTTTGTTAACCATGAACTTGCACACCAGCAGATCACGATACTAGCATTGCAAAGGCAGGTAGAAGAGATGAGTCGTCTTATATATATATGGAGGATCCTGAAATCACTGTTGTATACTCAATATTAGATCAACAATGACGACACGTTACCTACAATTTCGTTGAAAACATTGCCTTTTTATATAGTAGTGATATAAACACAATTTTTTTATTTTCTAATTTTTTTTCTTTTTCTAGATCTCTTGGTATATCCACTACATGAAATGAGAGAGTATTGATAAAGTGAAAGGATAATTTAGTCAAATGAAATTATATTTTTTTAAAAGTTAAAAAAAACAAGTTTTTAAATAGCAATTATTTTAAAACCTTAAAATAGTTGGAGTAAGTGATCCAGCAACACTTAAAATAGAATACTGCCACCAAGCACGCCACCGTTTGGAAAATTTCAAATACTTCAAATTTTTATTTTGGTGTTTTTTAATTAGAAAGCACACAAATCTCAAAAAACGTTTTCATCCAATGGAAAAAGGCAATCGCAAAAATGGGAGAACGAAAATTTGGGGTAGCAAAAATAACAAATTCAATATTTTATTTTAATCGTAAATCTTATTTTCTTTTAACAATTTTCATTTAATATAGAGCAGTTAAATATAAATAAAAATAAAAATATATTTTTTTACCAAAATAATAATAATAATAATAAAATGTAATATATAAAATGATTACGAGCATCTTGTATAATTTTATATTAATTGAACTAATACACACCACTTATGTGGTCCAATTGAATACGAGTATTTTTCTATGCACGAAAGCTTTTATGAATGAAATTACAGAACACGTGGCATAAGAATAACTTAGGAGATAAAACGGATTAAGCACTGTATACGAAATGGCGCGGTTGGATATGGTTAATAAAACGGATTAAAAAAGTTTTATTATAAAACACATCCTCGACGAAGTGATGATTTCTAATTCGTGCGTTGTTAATTTCTCCAGTTAAATAAAGTTGGGGTAAAAAACTTCAATACTGTTTAATTTTTTGCTGTCTAATTTTAGGAAACAAAATTCTTCTAAATGATTGGTCACATGTGAATCTCTTTTTCTCTTCGTATTTTAGATTTTTTTCCCAATTTTTTTATCCAGCTCTGGGAGACTTAGATCAACGGTATCTTTGTTCTTTATCACTCGAAGGTTAAAGATTCAAATATGAGAAATAATTTTTTTACAAAAAAAAATATAAGGATAAAATTGCATATCATTATTCTTTATCTCTACTCTCGTAAGTTGGAAAATCTTATACATGGGAATTTACTCTTTTATCCCACCTCAATCACAAACATTATTTAAGAAAATACTTTTTTTTCTTGCATGTGGTCATGTGGAGAAGTCAGTTTGATTCAAATTGACTTCTTAATTTAAAATCAAATTGTAGGTATATAAAAAGGGAAAAGTGTTTGTCATTTTAAATGACATAACTTATATCATTTCACTCTCACAAAGAGGTGGGACCCACACCTTTATATGTTTTTGTGCACTTTCTCTCCTTCTTTATCTATCTCTTTCTCTCACTTAAAATGATACAACCTTACATCTTTTAAAATGATACACATTTTTCCCATATAAAAATAAGCTGAGATCAATTATAAAAAGTATATAAAAATAAAGGAATGTGCGTGTAAATACGTATATATGAATGACTTTATTATTTGAAGGTAAGATAATAAATACAAGAATTTGGTATTCTATTTTCTCATCTTAAAATAATGTAATTATATATTGGGTTTTACCTCTCTTATGTAACAGGATACAAATTATCTTATTTTGAGATAAATAAGGTGGAGTCCCCTAATTTAAAAAAGAAAGAAAAAAAAAAGACACTTCTTTTTATATAATTATAGGAAAAAACATCTATCCTCTTAAAGGATATAAGCTTATATCATTTTAGATCTTAACCGTTGGTTTCTGTCCATCAACGGTTATAATCTATTGGGTCAAACTTAATGGGCCAAATTTATTATTAATTAATTAATAATTTTGATCCAATAAATTATAACCGTTGATGGACGGAAATCAACGGTTAGGATCTAAAATGATATAAACTTATATCCTTAAAATGAGAGATGTTATTCCCATAATTATAACATGAGAGATAAATCTCATGCAACATGAAAATATAATTTTCCTTAAATATTATACCAAAACATGGAAGAATCATTCCCGATTCCTATATATAATATTATTTAGTCTTCGAGTATATGACAGATTTTTCCGTAATAAACTGAGTAACGAACCTATAACATGACTTTCAATTACTTGTAGAGTTGTACATCCTCGTTTGGAAGATCATAATTTATTTATATTTATATCTTCAGAGTTTGAATTCAGATGCACTTTGCCAAAAATTCAATATAAATTGAACTACCAGATGGTATATACTATATATGCTTAAAGCCTTAAATCGTTTATGTAACTTATCCAACCTTCTCTTCCATTGCTGAATTCAGCAAAAATGATCAGAAACATTTCAAAAACACCATACTTTATTTATCTTCTTTTATTAGTATCTGTTAAGGTTCAAGGTCGCTATCTACAAGATCATGTTTCTGAATTAGTTTCAGATGGAGTTCATGATGTTCAACCCAACAAAACATCTTACTTGCTTCTCAAAGGAAATGATGAGTCCTTTGAGGAGCACTGCGAGCAAATGTATGGCTTCTTGCCATGTACAAATAACATTTTTGGTCATTTCTTTCTTATTTTGGTTTATGAGTATTTGCTGTTCCATGGAGAATCATATTTGGCTGAAGGGGGTGAGCAAATCTTCAAGATTCTTGGCCCTGGTATCTTTGGTGCTAGTGCTTTTCATATCCTTGGTGCCCTTCCAGAGTCCTTAATTCTTCTCGGTATGTTATTTCTTTTCCTTCCCTTACTTGAATTTTCTGTAGTCAAAATAAACTTATGTTCTGCTTTTTTTGGTCCACTTGTTCTTCTAGCTGATGCATCTTGCAGATTATTTGTCCATTTAAGGTCCATTTATTATTACCCTTTTTTGCCTTTTGAGTGAATATATTGTTTCATGTCACATATAACTTGCAAATCTGGAAATTGGTACAAAAGATCATGAAATTGTCCTCCTTTTGTAATGAAATTAATGCAGCATGGTTTAGAATTTTAGTAGTCATATTATGTAACATGTTCTTGTGATATCCAAATTCTGTATATGAAGTCAATGTCAAGTTTGCTGTATAGACTTCTGAGTCTATGCATATCAGTTTGTGTGGTAGAGAAGTAGAGAACAGAACTTGTGACTTGTGAACCACTAAAGTCGTTGGTTGTAATTATCTATTCTTTCTAATTAGAATTCAATGCTGCTGACTTTTATGCATTACGTGAGAGTTTTAACATAATGTTGGAGCAATAGTTGGTATTACTTTATGATCAAAGTGACTAAGATGAAGAAAGTTCTGTGGAGGAAGCCCAACAAGTTCCTCTTAGCTAAATATTCTATGACTTAACATGTTGATATTAAATCCTCACGGAACTATCTCTAAATATGATATTATTAAAATAAAGGTTCGCTTTTTGTCATGTCATATGACAAGAGTTTTTGACTTGCACACACGAATCAAGTGTGAGATCCATACTTAAAAAAAGAAAAAAAAAAAGTCAGAATCCGAAACCGGATCCTCAGGATACGAAATCGGATCTTTGTTGCAAGAAGAAACAGTGTCATTCCTACAACATGACAAACTGATTTCCTTTAAAATAATTCCATGACTATCTTTGATGTTTTCCATTATATAAATTAATATTAGCAGCCATTATATCTTTGATATTATTAAGATATATTAATATGCCACTGAAATACATGTTTGGCACTCTTTGAACATAGGCTTTGTTTGATTAAATTATGTGTAATAGTTATTTCAGTTCTGTATTTTCTAAATACCACTTTCCGTATTGTTTGAATTAGTCTTGGGTGTGTATGGTGTGAGAGTATATCTGGTCTGCATATCCCTTATCCTGTATATTTTTTTAATTTTATTTTTTTATCAGTTTCTGGGCTTCTTGGTAATAGGGAGATAGCACAAGAGTATGCTTACACTGGAGTTGGCTTATTGGCTGGATCATCCATCTTGCTTCTGACAGTAGTTTGGGGAAGCTGTGTTATCACTGGCAGCCAAGAATTTGACGGTTCTAACTTGGCACATAAAAGTCTAAAAGCCTTATTGACTGGTTTGCTACCTCTGACTTTCTTTGAGTCTTATATTCTAATATGGGGATGTCAATTCCGTTCCCACCACACGACACAACATGAATTTAATAGGAACATCAAACAAACCTGAAAATGGGTTAAAACTTTCAACACGAGCACAATCCGAATAACTCTCTAATCACAAAATGTGTCATTTATTATGCGGATTGACATGTTACGGTAAAACATGAATAACACAAATTTCTCGTGTTATATTCGTATCTAGAAGTTGATCATGATAAAAATTATCAGTCATATATCTAAGAAAAATCATTATCTCATTTTACATGAGATAACTATCTAATGTTGTTCTCACATCAAAAATTGTGCCACCTTTTTTCTTTTTTTAATAGGTAGTGGATCCCACCACATCACGTGTTTATAGTAGAAGATAATCTCCAACAACATAAGAAAATAGGATCCCTATATCTAATCATATTTGAAATAAAACTGCATATTGAGTTATGTGGTTGTGAAGGACATGTGGCTACTAAAAATTGTATGTGTACTTATTTCATACCCTTTAGATCATTGTCCAGCTATTTGAAAGAATTCAAAATCTTAACCAAAAATAGTAATAAATAATGCTTACTTAAAGCACTAGTTGTTTTAAAAAATGAAAACTTGAAACTACTCATGAGTCATGACTCCCCATGTATCAAATACAACAATTATAGTACAATTCTTATTTTTGGAGTTTCAAAACGTCATCTTATGGTGGATGTCTAGGTTGTGGCATTACTACGGATTTGGAAACCAGTTACACTGCAAGAATCATGGTTTTCTCAGTAATACCACTTACAATCATGCAAATCCCAAACTTATTCCAATTCTCTTCTTGGGCAAGAAGTGTGACCTTAGTAGTTGCTCTCATTATTACTGCCATTTTTCTGATCCTGTACTTCATTTACCAGGTTTGTCAATTTTCATTTTCTTTTATTATTATCAAAGCCTACTATTTAAATAACTTTATCTAACCGTTAAATAATGTTTATATCTTTTTGGTTAAATTAAAACATTTTTTAGTTAAATGTTATAAGCAAGCAATATACAAAAAATGTTCGGATAACAATTTGTTTTTTATTTTTGTAGAAATAATATATATGTGCAATCTTAAAATTTCATTTAGTATTTTAAGTCACATGCTAATACAATATACTCAACAAGGAGCATACACACCAATGCACACACGCTATACCCAGGAAAATATACTAGGAAAAAAAAATTATATTGCATAAGGTAAAACATGTTAGTTTTTATGAAGGGATATGTTTTTCTCATGTTGCATGAGACAATTGTCTCATGCAACACACACAAAAGTAGATAGGACTCACTTTTTTCCTTTTTCTTTCTTCTTTTTAGTGGGTCCCACTTATTTTTTGTGTGTGTTGGATGAAACAATTTGTATCATGGATAAAAACATTTCCCTTTTATGAAACACACACACAATCTTCTGTCATAATGTGCCATCCTATTTTGACTACTACAGAATTTTGTAATGCTTACAATTGCCCTCAATGATTGTTTTTCCACTTGGCTATATAACCTGCAGGTTTTTGAACCTTCGGTACAGAAAAGAAGACTGGAATATTTGAAACATGATCATTTAATAGCAAGAATATTACAACATGTTCAAAAGAACACCCTGCAAAGGATCCTCACCAAAAATGGGACACCAAATGTGAGTGCCATAAGAAGGTGAGATTTCATCAAACAGCACTTGAAAGAGTTATATACTAATTTAGCCTGTGACCCTGTTAACAAGGGTATTGTTTAACTAATTATAGGTACTAAACTTTGCAGGCTATATAGGGAAATAGACCAAGATGGGAGCAGTGGTATATCAGCTTCTCAAATAAAAGAGCTTCTGCTTAAAAACAAAGTAACTGAAACAAATTACGATGAAGAGAAAGAAATAAAAGAGGTGTTAGATTTTTTTGACCGGGATGGTGACCAAAAAATAACCAAGGACGAATTTGTGAGTGGCTTCACAAAATGGCTTGATCAAACAAAGCATGCTTTAGATAAACAGTATTTTTCAAGGAAATCACTTAAGGACATATATCAGGTACATAATACACCTTGTTATGTCTTGAATTCCATGCATTATGCACAATAGTAGGGGTGTGCAAAATAACCAAAAAACTGAACCAAACCATGACTCGAACCGCCTCTTAAAATAATCGGTTTTTAAAAACCAGTTCATGAACCGAACCGGTTTTTAAAGAACCAGTTCAGGAACCGAACCAGTTTTTAGAACCAGTTTAAGAACCGAACCGGTTTTTAGAACCAGTTTAAGAACCGAACCGGTTTTTAGAACTAATTTAAGAACCAAACCATTTTGAACCGAACCGAACCGTTTTCAAACCGAACCAAATTGATTTTTATAACTTTATTTTTAAATTTTTCTTTTCAAAAGAGAGTCGACCCGAACCGATTCCGAACCGAACCGTTTCCAACCGAACCGAACCACTTCCGAACCGAACCATTTAAACTAATTCGGTTCGGTTTTTCAAAAAAACCGATTCAGTTCAACCCATGCACATCCCAACACAATAGTTTCTTTTTATATTTCAATATACTTTTTGAGTAAATTCAGTTTTTTTTTCATATATTCAATATTTGAATCTTAATTCCAACTCCTTTGGTGAATTCAGTAGATATGCAATTTTCACCTCTGCTGAATAAGTCTTCACAATATTTGGTAAAGTTGTGAAGAAAATGATAGATGGGTTTGGAAACAGAAAATTTAAGAACCTACCTAGCTGGAACTATTTGACAATTAATTGAAAACATTGACAGGTTTTTGGACCATGGATTGAAAACAAACAAAAAGAACGTGAAGGGAAGAAGCAACTCATATCTGAAATCTTAAGGCATGTTCAGAATGATATGGTTGAAAGCCTTCTCACAGCAGATGGAAAGCCTGATGAACTTGCTATCAGAGGGTCAGTATCTTGAATTGTTTCTCTTGCATAATCAGTTAATAACAAGCACAATCTAAAAACTATTTACTAGTTCACACTACAAATAAAGCATCAATTATAACTAGCCCCACAGATTATGTTGAATAAACTACATGTAAAAACTAAAATGATTACATTGACTAGACTATATAGTTTACTTGTCTAATCAAGACCACAACAAATTCATAAAAATTCTTCAATACTTTTGCCAGTTCTCATAGCCACTGTGATCAGCAGGTTGTTTGAGAAAATTGATCGCAATAGAGATAACTGCATCTCCCACTCTGAGTTGAGAGAACTAATCATGAACATCAAGTTTGTTAAAGCATCAATGGAAGTGGAGGATGCAGTTGCTATAGTCATTGAAGAACTTGACCTTAACAAAGACCAGTTAATCAACGAGGATGAGTTTGTTGCTGGGTTTGAGAAATGGATTAGCTCAACTTCGAGTCCTGCTCCTCTCTCAGATTCTGAGTCTCAAGAAGATATGTATGAAGTAAGTACATGCACAATTCCCTTTGTCCAAAAAACATCAAACTTTTAATTGTTTCTGTCATTGCAACCAATACTCCCAAAAGCTTAAGTCATTAGGTGAAGATAAATGAATATTTATTAGAAGCATGAGAGGAGAAAAGATCGAACTCTAGACCATTTGGTTAACTCTGCAAAAAGCTTAGGCTATTAAGTGAAGACGCGTGAATGTTTCATATTATATTTCTAACAATCTTTTGCTGGTCAAAAGTGAGGAATGTAAAAAACTTACACTCTTTCATTGTGTATAAGACATGGGAAAAGGCTGACATGGTGGTGGAAGAGAAGCAAAGCAAAGCAGTAATTGATAAATCAATATGGGCATGGTTGAAGGCTTTAACATATGTGGTGCTAGGAATTGCTATGCTATCCATTCTGGCTGAACCCCTAATAGAAAGTGTCAAAAACTTCTCTAACAGTGCAGGACTTCATTCATTCTCCATATCATTCATTCTAATCCCCTTGGCTACAAATGCTAGAGAAGCAACTGCAGCAATCAAAGAAGTAAGCCATAAGAAGCCTAGAACTACTTCTCTTGCCATTTCTGAGGTTAGTCACCAACTTCATTCCACAAACTCAACCAAAATAAACCATTTTCTCAAAACATTTTTTGGGCCATTGCAGATTTATGGAGGGGTGTTCATGAATAACATCCTTGGATTCTTGGCAATCTCAGTTCTGATCTATGTTCGAGATGTCACTTGGCAATTCTCAGCTGAAATGCTGGTTGTTGCAATTGTTTGTGCTATAGTGGGCTCTATTGCAAGTTTTAAGTCCACTTTTCCTCTATGGTCATCCTTATGTGCATTTCTCTTATACCCATTGTCCTTGGTTCTGGTTTTTGTGCTTGACCATGTTCTCAATTACACTTGACACCCCTTGGAGTTGTGCTGTGACCAAGTGAGAGAAGTAAGAGTTTAATTTTGGTTCACTTTTAGCTTATAATTTTTTTTAATGATATGACAATATTTGATTAAGTGATAATGTGAAGAAACTTTAATTTAACCGTCACTCAAAATTGAAGGTGATGGCTCAGCTGGTAATATCCATTAGAGGTGAATGTAGATGTTTTTTTGGACCCTTTTATCCCTTATTAAATAAAAAATAACCACTTTGTCCCTGTTTCAAAACTATACCTTGAAAGAAACTGACCTTGAAGGTCGAGGCATGTGAGAGGGAAAAACAAAATTTTTCGAGCGGAATAACACATACCATATCAAGAAACATGCTTTAGGGCATGGATGTTACCTTGTTTGCTTTCCAAAACTGGAGGATGATCAAGATGAGGCTTGAAGATGCAAGCCCTCTAATGTTGATCCACACCACCCTTTGTCAAGACGGAGGAACTCTTCTTCAAGGCCACCAACGAAAACACCAATGGAGGCAAGCTATGCGCCCAATGTGTGAAGGAGGAGGCTAGGTCAAGGTGTTTAGAAGAGTGAATATTCAGCAAGAATAGACACAAAAGTGGCGCATGGTTTTCTTTGAAAAAGGCTAGGTTATTTCGAAACTCTCTTAAGAAAAACCTTAAAAGGAACCCACAAGGAGATGAGAGAATGAGTTAATTAAAAATCTGATTTTCTTCACTCAAATAAGGCCCTATATATAGCGCACACTAGGGGGATGAGTGGAGTTGTTGCAAAATTCAAATCTTGTCAACAACCTCCTCTCACATCCTCATGAAATCAAGTGAATATCTCAACAAGAATCTGACTCAACAACCATCATATGGCCATCCATATGGTGCGCCCCACTTGGCCTCATAACAGTCCAGATACATTGAACAGTTGCATTCAAACTTGAACCAACTGTCTCACTTATTCTCTCAACAAACCAAATCTGACTGGAGCTCATTTGGTTGATCCTATGACCATCATCAGATACCTAAATCAGCGCCCCATATCCTCACTAGAAGATTCTCAAAGATCTCCTCTTGATATTTGGGATTTGTTCCAACAAGATCTTATCTTATCCTTTTGTTATGAAACAACTTTTCATAGCCAATTCAAATTCGAATTCAAACATTTGAATTCAAACGTTCAAATATTTAAATTTTAAATTCAAATTCAAATTCCAAATTCAAATTCAAATTTCAAATTCAAAATTCAAATTCAAAATTCAAAATTTCAAATTTCAAATTTCAAATTTCAAATTCAAAATTCAAAATTCGAATTTCAAAATTCAAATTCCAAATTCAAATTTCAAATTTCAAAATTTAAACATTTGATAATTAATTTAACTAATTAAATTAATTAGTAATGTCTTGGACCATCCAAGCCCATTAACTAACCATGCGCCCTTTTTCCTTTTGGTGGGCTTCCAAACTTCTTCTTAGGCTAACAACCATTATTAGGCCCAATACCTCTAATGCTATATTGTCATGACAATAAGGTGTTAGTGTGTGGCCCATTAGGCCCAAAATAGCCACTGACATAAATGGGCTTGGGCCCAATAACCCCACAACCCATCTAATGACAACACAGAGCACTAGCAATGCTTTGTTGCCCCAGAGCTAGTTAGGTTAATGACATAATCATCCTATTACACATTTTTTGTTGTTGTATGTATTTCCTTTCGTCTCGGTTACCTTCCCATAAAACCTAGGGTAAGGAAACGTATCAACCCTTGCGGTTTAGGTTAAACTTTATTCGAAATAGGGAATCTTCAATTTACTGACTCTAAAGGCAGATCATCTCATGATCTCTTTTACTATGCATAGATTCTTGAGTCCCTGTAAATGTCATCCCGATTTCTCCGGTTTACAGATAACCTAATCTCTCACAGAGATCTGACGAATTCCTTCAGCTTATCACCCTAGCCCTGTGCTCTTTCAGGACAAGCCCAACAGTATACCTATGAGTCTCCATGTTTCAGGCAGACGAGGTATACAGTCAAAGCATGCATTCTAGAACACAGTCTAGGTAATAACTTCTGGTCTAAGGAAAGACATACCCAAATATAAAGAGACTACTCTAATGATACTCTCTGTGAGGTTTCCTCATAGAGTCTCTTTTGTGGGTCTGTTCAGTGCGAGCTATACCGTTATAGATCCACCCACGACTTTAGCTAAGACATCTCCATATCTGTAGCTCATGAGGTCTTTACCTTGCATCCGAATACAAGTAGATAAGTCGTGCTAGTCTTACCCGAGATCACTGATCCCCATTCTCAGTGTCTCTAGACTAGGAACATAAAATTAGGAATAAACATCCAATATCCTTGAATCCTCATGATCGTGATCTCATCACAGATACTCAAGAGATACCTATTTTATTCCAAGGGGTTTATCCAGTTAACAGTAATATCGAGACAAAATATGAAACAGGATAAAGAATGCTTTTATTTATTTGCGACAATACAAAGGTCTACATCTATGTCCTTATTTAATCATAAGATTGTCTCTAGGACACCCAAATACTAACAAGCTCCTACTTGGCCTAGAGCCAATCAGACCTAAGTCGTATACCCAAAGCCTCATAATGACTATCATGTTTTTTTCTGAGAAACAGCCTTTGTCAGAGAATCGGCTAGGTTATCATCTGTGGGAACATAATCCATCATCTTTACATCCATTCTATCAATGATTTCTCTAATCAGGTGATATCTGCGGAGCACGTGCTTAGATCTTTGATGAGACCTAGGTTCCTTTGACTGCGCAATGGCTCCAGTGTTGTCGCACAGCAACTGTATGGGCTCATCCACGCTTGGAACCACCCTAAGTTCAGATATGAACTTCTTGATCCACACGGCCTCCTTAGCCGCTTCTGAAGCAGCTATATATTCAGCTTCTGTTGTTGAATCTGCTGTTATCTCCTGCTTGGAACTCTTCCAAGATACTGCCCCACCATTTAACGTGAATACGAACCCTGACTGTGACTTGCAGTCATCTTTGTCACTCTGAAAGCTGACATCAGTGAACCCTTTCACTGTTAGCTCATCAACCCCACCATAGACCAGAAACACATCCTTAGTTCTTCTTAAGTACTTAAGGATGGTCTTGACTGCCATCCAGTGACCCTCTCCAGGGTCCGACTGGTATATGCTCGTAATGCTTAAAGCATATGAGACATCTGGTCTCGTACATATCATGGCATACATGATGGATCCAATAGCCGAAGCGTATGGAATTCCACTCATGCGATCCTTCTCAGCCTGTGACTTAGGACACATGGCCTTTGAAAGATGTACCCATGACTGACGGGAAGAAAATCCCTTTTTGACCCTTCCATGCTAAACCTCTTTAGCATCTTGTCAATATACGTGGATTGAGATAAACCTAGCAGCCTGTGTGACCTATCTCTATAGATTTTTATACCAAGTATAAAGGCCGCCTCTCCCAAATCCTTCATGGTGAAGCTTTTTGAAAGCCATTCTTTCGTCGTTTGTAATGTGGGGATGTCATTTCCTATTAACAATATGTCATCTACATAAAGTACTAGGAAGACGACATTACTCCCACTAACCTTCTTGTAAACACAAGGTTCATCCTCGTTCTTGATAAAATCGTTACTTTTAACGACTTCATCAAAACGAATATTCCAACTCCTTGATGCTTGCTTTAGCCCATATATCGACCTTTGAAGTTTGCATACCATATGCTCCTGATCTTTGATTTCAAAGCCTTCAGGTTGTGTCATGTACACATCCTCCTTCAAGAACCCATTCAAGAAGGCGGTCTTGACATCCATTTGCCAAATTTCATAATCGTGATATGCCGCTATTGCAAGCATGATCCTAATAGATTTGATCATGGCAACAGGTGAGAAAGTCTCATCATAGTCAACTCCTTGTCTTTGACGATACCCTTTCGCAACCAACCTAGCTTTGTAGGTCTGAACGTTGCCATCTGCATCAGTCTTTCTTTTAAAGACCCATTTGTTACCAATAGGAACTATACCTTGCGGTTTAGGAACCAAGGTCCATACCTTGTTTTGATACATCGAATCCATTTCAGATTCCATGGCTTCAAGCCATCTAGAAGAGTCAACATCCTTGACTGCCTCTTCGTAGTTACTTGGTTCATCATCCTCGACGGTTTGCTGATTCTCAATCACAAACCCATACCTCTCAGGTGGATGGATGCCCCTCGTTGACCTACGGAGTTGTGTGTTTACTTCTCCATTGGAGAACGTCGCCTGCGGAGCAGACTTGGGTTCCTCAATCTGTTCATGTAGTTCTTGAACTTCTTCAAGATCAATCATACTCCTACTAGCTCCTTGAGAGATCAAATCCTTCTCAAGGAACTCAGCATTCTTTGACACAAACACTTTGTGTTCATCCATGGAGTAAAAGTAGTATCCCTTATTACCTTTGGGATACCCCACAAATAGACATTTAGTACTCTTAGCACTAAGCTTGTCTGATGCCAACGCTTTGACGTAAGTCGGCGATCCCCATACTCTGAGGTAACTCAGGTTGGGTCTCTTACCATTCCATATCTCATATGGTGTGGTCTGAACAGATTTAGACGGTACCCTATTTAGAAGGTATGCCGTTGTGTCTAGGGCATATTCCCAAAACGATTTTGGAAGTTGAGTCTCATTCATCATAGACCTGACCATGTCTAACAAGGTCTTGTTTCTCCTTTCGGAGACACCATTTTGGTGTGGTGTGTAAGGTGCAGTAAACTGCGAGAGAATTCTATTTTCTCTCAGATAATCCTGAAACTCATGGCTCAGATATTCACCACCACGATCTGATCGTAATGTCTTAATCATCTTGCCACGCTGTTTCTCTACTTCATTCCTAAACTCTTTGAACTTTTCAAAGGATCGGATTTATATCTCATTAGGTACACGTACCCAAATCTTGATTTGTCATCTGTAAAGGTAATGAAATAGGAGTATCCTCCTCTAGCCTCTATAGACATTGGCCCACAAACATCAGTGTGAATGAGTTCTAATAACTCACTAGCCCT